TGGCACGGCTCCCTTCTTTGGATAGGCACCACAATGTAGGAGCTTGTCCGGGATAGGCCGCGGGCGGGAACAGAGGTCTTTGTGATGGTTGCTGCCGCGCGTCTTGCCAACCCTGGCTGTCTTGCCTGCCGGTGTAACCGATCGGGTCGAGGTTGTGAGCCACTTGTCGCGGGGGCATGGGGGCACCGGAAGCGTGCTGCACGGGCCACGAGAGCACGTGAGGGCGCCCACACAACACCCAAGGACTTGTTTGAGGACACATACCCTTCGTTCGCTCCTACGAATATTTTATTTGTCAGCCGGGACCAGAAGCCTTCCTGTGGAGGGGACGAGCCGGGGCGTGGCTGCTGCTCCGGAAACTGGTCGGGGTACTGGCCCTGGCGACGCTGAAGTCCCTCGACTGGTGATGGCCCCCGCCAAGAATAGCCCTATCGGGATGGTAAGCGCCGAGTCAGACGTCACGGCAGGCACAGGTATCCCCTAGCGGTAGAGATGAGACGCACGACATGAATACTTACCTCGGGGGGGTAGCCCTCCCGACCCGGAGGCGGTTGTCCACCCCGATTCCCCTGGATGGACCAGGGAATAGGACGAAAATATGGAAATAAGCACATTTGAAGCAATAATCCCTGGCTAGATGTGAGATGTTCTTACTTGCTGTTGATGAAAAGGCGGAGCAGGTGCACTGCTACGTGACGGAGGAGGGGGGGGAGGCGGGGGATGGTATTGACCATGTTGTTGCTGCTGCGGCTGCCATCCATTTTCCGCCCGCACCATGCTCAAGACTCCTCCGGCAAGCATTGTGATGGCGGCAAAAGGATGTTTTTTGGGCAGATACCTTCTTTCTCTCCTTGAAGGAGCTGCGACCCCTCCGGATGCGACCATCCTGCTTGTCGCTCGTAACGTTCAGAGAGGTCGTCCCTGCATGAAAGGGTACCAGAGGCCGTGAAAAGTACGTTTTGTTGGCATGTATCAAGCCGGCATAATAATGTGAAGCCTGCATCAGTATTTGAGGGGCTGGCTGACAAATTAAGGGTTTGCCTTCCCCCTAGTACCTCGATGATCGCCTCCGTCGCCCCTCCGTCCCAGCGAGGCCGTCGTGAACCCCCTCACTGCCTCCGTTCCGGCTCAAAAGGACGCATTGCATCCACTGATCTCCCACAACTCTCTCGAGACAGGCTGTGGACAACCCATTATTATGACATTGCTTTCGAAATCCTTGCTTGTGGTGGGTCTGGCTCTAGTGGCGCGGGCTTCTACACGTGCGATGCAGCAAGGTTCGCGAGTGGTCTTCAATACTTATTTATGAATTTCGAAAATGTCAACACTTACACGATTTCGATCTATAAACTACACAGAAAGTCCCTCTGTCCCAGCCGTGGTGTTGGATTTGCTTGCGGCATTTGCAGTTTCTCTGGCAGGAGCCCTGTTGGGAGCCGGCCCTTTTCGCCCCATTCATCTTGCTCAAGACGCTTCCCTCCGCTGCAAAGACATCTCCTCCTCCCGACCTGATTTCGCTGTCTTCAGTCATCGAGGACCTTTATTGCGGAGCCGTCAATTCTAACGAAACGATTACAGATTCGTAAATTATTGGTCCAAGCTTTATTTCATTCCTTGTTCTTCAGTTACCACCATGTTCTTTCTCTCCCTCATAGAAAGTAACGTCCTGACGCGATGAGTGTGCCATGTTGTGGTCAGAATCAGAGCTCTTTCGTCCAGTCGTTAAGTGGTCTTCTCGATGCAGAGCAGTTTAGTACACAAGCAGCTTCCCGGGCTTGACGTACGCGCGGGCGAACGAGTAGCCGGCTGTGCTCAACTGGGAGAAGGCCACTTTGCCCCGCGGAACCACGAAGCCGTAAAAGAATCGTGCCCGCGCCACTTCCAACATGCGCTTGGCAATCCCCTGTCGCCGCATGTTCTGGCTGACCCACACCTGCTTGATCCCTATCGCTGCCTCCACTTTTTCGTGCAGATACTCCACCCCTTGCGGTAGCATACTCAAGCCCACCCTGCTCTTGTCCGCATGTCTGAGCACTCCACCAGTGCTCGCCGCCATTTTACCGGTGGCGGTCTGCATGCTGTCGGTGTGCTCGTTCTGCCCCGAGGCCGCGGGTACCCTCCCCTCTGGGCCCTCTCCCTCTCCTCCGTGCAGAGAGTCAGCAATCCCGGACACTCTTGAGCCTCGCGAACGCTTTTGCATTCCGCAGACATGAGACCCTTCCTTTGAGGGTATTGTTCCTGACACAGGATGTGCTACATTTATCTTCTCTGCGATCACGCAGCCCACTACGCGCCTTCCGTGCACGTACAAGAAAGCCTTCTCTGTGGTCTTGAGCACTATATCACCTTCTCTGAGGGGAACAAACCCCATTTCTTGATCCATCACACGTTTCACCTCCCTCATCTTTGTGAGTGGCGCCGCTCCATCCCCAGGGCGAACCTCAATCACCCTCCCGTCCACTCCTTCTTGACCCCACACTAGGCGCTGGTCCCGCCACCCGGGGCAGACAAGGCCAGCTGCAACAGACCGGCAGAATTTTACATGGTCTTTCTCGTCTTCCTCTTGGCCATTTACGTATAAGAGGCCACATGTGCCACAAAGCGTGCGTTTCCCGTGCGATCTCTGGCCGAGATCCAAATAAGTTTGAGTGAGGGTTTTCTTGGGAGCATGTGGGGAGGCTTTGGACGTGGACGTCCAAGAAGAGACGCGCGAATCCGAGGACGCAGCGTAAGCTGGCCTGATTTTTTTAGTATGCCTCCCACTGAAGCAATCCTTCAAAATACCAAAAGCAGACATTGCTGTTCAATGTGGTCACGGGTGAGCTCCCGGCACATGTTACCTTTTATGCTCTACACCGAGGCACCATGTATAAGCACTTACCATCGCGCATCCCTTATATGCTGGTCATTTCGCTAGAAAATTTTCAGTAGTATTGACAATTCGATATTCGTGTATCACACCTGCAGATATACGAAAATGAAAGATGGCGTTAGGCCGGGGGGCGGGGACGTTTTCGCGGCAGCGCCCAAGGCTCGCCGAAGAACACGATGACGCATGTCTCCCCGTTACCAAAAAGTGCAATCCCACTCTTTTGTTTTGAGTGCATTCGCTTGTATCTGATCCAAATATGCGCTTGCGACTGAAATAAAGCATGATTTCTTTATCTTAGTAGGTATGATAGATGAACATCGAATTGGTGAGGTAACACAGCCTTTGCCTCATCATGATTCTAATCGCGATTTGGCTGAAAAATGGGCCGCACTCCAGCAACGGACAACGACATGGCCAAAGATGGAACCAGCAGCTGAAGAAATTAGATCCTTGGCCATTCGATACGGGAAAGCAGTCGAGGAAAAAGATAAGCTGCTCAGTATTTTGGAAACTGATGCCACTGATTCACAAGAAAATCTATGTTTAGCTCAGGAAGCTCATAGCAAGCAACGGGATACATTGATAGAGTTTCACCGCGCTCACGTAGACACACTACAAAAAGCATTTGATCGCGATTTGCAAGAACTCGAAGAAGAGTTCCAAGAGGAGATGCTTTCGTTGGAGAAACAGCATGAGGAGGAAAAGTCGGAACTCCGCCAGTTGCTGGTAGGCATGGAAACATTCGAGCAGACCAAGGAGCGGGAGGGACAGGAACTCCATGCAAGAGTTCGCGATGTTTTGAAGCGCCAGGGAGAGGAGCAGTTAGCCAAGCTTCGTCATTCTCTCACTTCGCAAATCGATTCATTGGTGCAGCAACTCAATGATGAGAAGATGTTTGGCTTCACGGAAAACAATGACACCCAGAATTCTGCAAGCGGCTTTTCCACATCCGGAGCGGTGGGCAAAGCGTTGGCTGCTAAAGATCAGTCGCTTACGTCGCAGATTGAATCAAAAGTACGCAAAATTGACCAGGAGCTTCAGCGCTGGAAAGAATGGCGGGTGAAGATGACAACAAGCGGGAAGGAGCACAGTGAAAGGAATCAGTCCCTCTTCAATGAGAAGCGAGCCCTTTCAGATCAGTACCGCAAGCTTAAGTCACATATGAATAAGTTTCGCCAGAAGCAGTATGATGCGCTTCAAGTGCTAAACAAAGTGGCGGCTTCTTCCCTTGAACGCCTGGACGGTCAAGTGGAGGTACGTGCAAGGGAGGTGTCATTTCTAGCACGGACCATACTATGCTAAAAGCATCACCATATGAGACTTACTCTATATATACCGTCGCGGTCCAGCTTGGCCTACGAGTGTTGCATCTAGCAGAGTGGGCTCACAAGAAGGAGGTGGAGCAAAGCAGAGCCAGAGGCCTCCCTAAAGCCGCGGAGGGCGCGGCGACCAGCCTGCCCAGCTCCCCTCATGGTGGCGATGGCGAAGGACCCGAAAAGAACGAAGAGAATGAAAAAGGTTCCGAGGAGCCTCTGAGCGCTTTCTGGAGACGCTATAATCATTCATTGCTGGAGAAAATAGCTCTGTTGGAACGCCGCGACGCACTAGACGAAGAGAACCGCGCACTACAGGTGAGAAATAGGTTCAAGATTCAATTCTTTTTCACCCTTTTTTTTCAACTTGCATATTTTTGAAAAATAATCTTGTATTTTTGGGCCTACCTTCCCAATCGCAGGCCACACTTCAACAGTACCTGGACGGCGTTAGCATCAGCGACGAGACCCTCCGTGGTGCCAATCCCCTGCTTGTCGTCCAACCCAAGGCAATGACGCCCCCTCGGAGCACCAAGCCGAGTCCTTGGAGCCAGAATCCTCCCATAGTCATAGAGGGGAACCACATGCTCCAGACGGGTCGCCTTGGCACGGCTCCCTTCTTTGGATAGGCACCACAATGTAGGAGGATTTGAATGGTTAATCGCACGAAAGAAATTTCACAGACAACTGCAACTTTTTTTCTTTAGTGCAATACGAGTAATTTTAATTTTTCGGTGTAGCTGTGTGATGATCCACTGTCTGTCTCCCAGCACCAACGTGTTGAGACACCTGGGCAGGCGCGAAAGACGGTACCGATGGCATCCCACATTCTAAGCCCTCTATTAACGTTTTGACTTCGGATAACTTTTTTCGAGTGTCCGCCAGCTGATCTTGGTACCCCTCTCGTTTGAACCATAGGGATTGAGCACTCAAGGCCACTTCTCGTTGGATCTGGGGTAGTTCCTCTTGCAGGAAGGACATGAGTTCCTGCTCCTTTTCCTCGCGTGAAGCGTCTACAACGGTGATGGTTTCAAGTTG